GAGTATCCATTTAGTCAATCAGTCACTAAAGTGACTGATGGTTAAGGGGGGGGGGTGATGTAACGGGGTGAATTGTTACATAACAATTTATAAGAAATTGTTAATAGAATATAACTATAAGAGTTATATTCTCAGAATATTGTCATAAGGACAATATTCTGTAGCACTTCCAAGTAGTTCGTAATTGGTTGATATAGGCCATTATATCAACCAACGAAGACGCGCCACGACAGACGCACGCAATGAGTGGTGAGCAGATAACTGATTTACACATTTGTATTTAGACATAGTTAGATGAAGATAAATAGTGATTTATTGCAGACATTAACTATTATAAATACAGTTCTACTTTTTACTCTAACCAAGTACTCGCTTCTTCTTACCGTCTTCCTCTGCACGTACCAGTGTACGTGAAGTTACGAGGCACCGCCTTATTCTGTCATCAGAATAAGTAGATTGTACTGTCACCAGTACAAGCTTCAGGGTGCCCCGTTACAGCGAGTGCCTTTTCTTCACGTCTCTCTCATCTCTTAGTAACGCTGCAGGTCGATTTTGCTCGCTGGATTGCAGGACCAATCTGGAGTACATGTACCAGCTCCAGAAATTGATGGATACGCAGCAGACATGGGAGGGCAGCACCAACTCTAGCGAATCGGGACACAATAAAGAGGCGGAAGAGACAACATTGAAGGGGGTCGATAGTTCGACCGGCATGTCGTCGCGTACCATCGACAGTCAAGTAGACATTGCAGGGCCACAGGACACTGTAGTAAACACTAGACTTGACTCCAATGTTACAAACATAAGTTTCGAGCCTAGATCGTCTAAACTGGTGAAACGGCACGTACTCCGTTGAGTGGTACTCGTTGTGATAACGAGTCACTGCATGCTGAAAGCATGGTTGGCCTAGGGCCGAGTGATAAAGGATGTGATTCCTTTGATGTGTGTATGGTGGCACGTGAAAGTACACCGAGTGCGGTCGGCCGTGAGAGCACCGCACTAAATGTCGGTAATGACATTTTTGGCCATATGCCATTTAGTGTGGGCGGCCGTGAAGGCACCACGCTTAACGTCGGTAATGGCGTTGTTGGCGATTCGCCATATAGTGTGGGCGGCCGTGAGGGCACCACACCTAATGTCAATAATGATATTGTTGGCGATACGCCGTATAGTGTGGACGGCCGTGAGGGCACCACGCTCACCCCGGTAATGGCGTTGTTGGCGATACGCCGTATAGTGTGGGCGGCCGTGAGGGCACCACACCTAATGTCAGTAATGATAATGTTGGCGATACGCCGTATAGTGTGGACGGCCGTGAGGGCACCACACCTAATGTCGGTTATGACCTTATTGGCGAGACGCCGTTGAATTTGGGGCTAGGCGCGCATAATACACGTGGAGTGGCACGTTTCAATCCACTGGGTGAAGCGTTCGAGTTATGTAACACTTCACCGGATGTCGGTCAAGACAAAAGCTCTCGTATAGAGCGTACTATGGTTAGTAGTAACCGTGGGGACAATTTTGTCCCGACCCCTAAGGGGTGTAAGGTCTCGAAGAGACGATCGAGACGCCGGGTAGCAACTTTTAAGCGCCAGGCGTCCTCACAGTCACATAGTAATAATTGTAATACGCTATATACACTTGTTAATGGAGTGACTGGTAAGGTTGATGGCAGTGTTTGCCTTGAAACCCTTCCATCTGTGGACGCTCTTTGTGAGCTAGACGAAATATCTGATGGCGAGTTTAGCCAGGCCTTGAAGGCAGGAGAATTATCCGAGTTAGCGGTCATTAGACCTGATACTGAGTTGAATTCTTCCTCGTTAATGGATGAGTCTGTCCTAGAGGATACAAAGGCGGCACTTAGTGCACGAAGTGGATCTTCGATCCTTAAAGATCCTTCGGATCCGTTCTATCCTTTAGTTAAGGAATTTTAAGATGTGTTGTGTCACAACCCACCGTCTTCTGTCTGTCTTACCACCTGATAGAGGTGTACGTCATATAATTGGCTTGGTCCCAGAAACAAATACTGCGTAACACGGCAGTAGCCTTTGCCTAAATAAGAGTGTGACTTCATTGACGAGTTCTTTCGTGCTAAGCACGCGGCTAAAATGGTTCGTGAGAGTAGATCTCCCCATTTAAAACCGAAACTTTGTGTCAAGAAGTTAAATGGCAAGTGGCGCATTGTGCATGCTAATAATAAGCTTAATGCAGCCACTATACCGGCGCAGACGCCTATTCCTAGAAAGGATGTGCTTCAGAACAATATGGCAGGATGTACATTGTACAGTGCACTCGACTTACTCGATGGTTGATACCAACTGCTTATGCGAGCAAGCGATATTCCGCTAACAGCGGTGAGTACTCCGAGCGGTATGCTCTGGGAGTGGCTTGTTATGCCACAAGGGCTATCTAACGCCCCGGCTACGTTTAACCGGCTGGTAACGCAACTATTCAGACCTCATCGAGGCTATGCACAAACGTACTTTGATTACATTTTTGTCCATAGTCGTGCAATGAACGGGCGATCAGATGTGGATAACCACATTGATCATTTACGAGCGTTGCTCGAGTGTATGCGAACGATTAAGTTGTATGCTAACGCATCGAAGTGCATCTTTGGTGCAGAAGAGATTCCCTTTCTAGGGTGCTTCATTGGGAAGCGAGGCCTTCGAGCGGATACCGCTAAAGTGAAAGCCATAGTCGATTGGCCGGTTCCCAAGAACCACAAGGACTTGCGTAAGTGGCTTGGTCTTGCCAATTACTCACATAAGTACAGTGCAAATTACGCAGATATGGCTCGCCCATTGTCCAATCTCCTTAAAAAGGATGTGGGTTGGTGTTGGGGTGATACCGAACATGATGCGTTTGAAGCCGTTAAGGAAAGTCTCCTTCATGCGCCAATATTGGCTTTGCCCGATTCTGGTCGGCCTTTCAGTGTCGTCTGTGACGCATCTGACTTTGCCATAGGCAGTGCTCTGCTACAAACAGATGTCGACGGACGCGAACGCGTCATCGCATTCGAGTCTCGGCAGCTGAAAGCTGCTGAAAAGAACTATCGTGTTCATGACAAAGAGCTACTTGCTATGAAGTACGCTCTTGTCAAATTCAGAGTACATCTGCTTGGCTCTAAGCCGTTTGTGATCTATACCGATCATGCGTCATTACGCACTGCGATACAGTCGCCACATCTCTCTCAGAGAATGGCTCGTTGGCTTTACTTCTTTGCCGAATATAACTTCGATGTGAAGTACAAGCCAGGTAAGCAAAACGCTTTGGCTGATGCGCTATCGCTTCGACCTGACTATGAGCTTGCTCGTGTTACGACTCTGTCGTCGTCAGTCCCTGACTTAATCCGTGCGGCATATGCCAAGGACGATCAGTGTGTAGCTTTGCTACGTGCTCTTGGGAGCGATGAGTTTAAAGACTCGGACATAGCATTGTCGGCACGTGTACGTGCGAGGCTACATCGATATTCCATCGATAATGGCCTGTTGTGATATCGCACGGATATTGAGGATAAGCCTCGTATCGCTGTACCTCATGACGAGGAATTAAATTATCGAATCCTCCACGAGTCACATGAAACTGCTTTAAGTGGTCATCTCGGTCGTGAGAAGACTTATAGCTCGGTGAGCTATTGGTGGCCCAAACTTTATAAGTGGGTGCGCAACTATGTGCGTACGTGCGAAACGTGTCAACGGGTAAAACCCTCGGCACATGCGGCGGCGCCGCTGGCTAGTTTTTCAGTACCCACTGGTTGTCGGGAGTCCATGAGCATGGATTTGTGTTTGGCCTACCGAAAGATTCGGAAGGCAACACAGGTATTGTTGTCGTTGTTGACCGATTAAGCAAGATGGCTCACTTAGCGGCTGTGCCGGATAGCATCGATGCTGAAGGTACAGCAAAGCTGTTTATCGACCGTGTGTTTCGCCAACATCGCTTGCCGGTGGCAATTATCTCTGATAGAGACCCCCTCTTCACTGGGAAGTTTTGGAAGTCTATCTTCAAGGTGCTTAGCACTCGGTTGGACATGTCCACAGCGGATCATCCGCAGACCGACGGTCAAACTGAGCGTGTAAACCGCGTCATCAACGACATTTTGTGCAGTATTTGCGCTGATACGCTTAGGCGTTGGAGCTCAATGCTCCCTGTTGTTGAGTTTGCGTTGAATAACGCTGTTCATGCCTCAACAGGCTTTACTCCGTTCTATAAAAACGGTCTCACTCACCCTCGCGTTCCGCTAACGCTATCACTACGTGAATCAGGGCTTGGTGGGGGAAAGGTTGCCGATCGGCTTGCTGATATCAGCCCTGCTACTGTTCAAAAACAGGTGAGCGAGTTTCTCGCAACGCGATTAAATGTCTTAAGACATGTGCGTGACGCAATGTCTGATAGCCAAGATACCCAAAAACAACAAGCTGGTGCCAAAGGCAGAAATTGTACGTTATGAGGTCGGAGACCAAGCACTACTCAATGCTAAAAATCTACCTACAAATGTAGTGTCTGCTGTCTTTAAGACAAAGTTGCGTCCACGCTTTATTGGACCGTTTACGGTCACGGCCAAGAAGGGACTTGGGTATAAGCTAAACCTCCCGCGCGAATTGCGCACACATCCAGTGATCTACGTAGGCTTACTTAAGCCGTACCGGGATCCTTCCCATGTGAACTTGGAGGCGCTTGCGCCGACGACAAGGGTACTGCCCCGGATTGCTGTAGGCGAATCAGCAAGTCCAACTGAGCCTCACTCCAAGTTTGTGCTTGCTCCATCGCCTGAAGGCGGCTTTGCATCGCATCCAGCATGCACTGGGACTTACCCAAGGCCTCTTGAAGACCCTTCACTTCGATAACCAATTTCTCGTGGGCCTCCACCGGTACACCGGCCGCCACCGACTTTGCTCGATGAGCATGGGTGTCGTCAATTTATGTCGAGAGACTACTGAAACGACGTCGTCGTCAGGGCCAATACCAGTTTCTGGTAAAGTGGCGTGGGTACCCTGAGTCTAAAAACTCATGGGAATTTTAGGTACCCCTTCGGCAAGACTGCCCATATACTTTGGAGGCTTTTGAGCATCGTGGCCATGGTCATCTCGAGGCCGAGGCCGTTCCCCACCACTAGTGGTGCGAATTGGCAGGTTGTTGGCCACAGACTGATCAGCACTCGCGGCTACCTTAGTAGCCGAAGCATAGCGCGTGCGCTTGCGCAATTGGCCTCTGGTCTTAAGCTTGGCATAATCATACCGAAGCTTGCGTTTGAGACGCACATCTGCCGCATGGGCACTAGCTCTTAGAGAAAAAATGTTGCTGAGGCGACGCGCATAGTGCACCCAGTGAACAAAGGCATCGTCTTCTTTTCTCACTGTTTTGCCTGCGAGCAGGAGAATGGGTATACCCTTGATCGGTGGAACCGGTGCACCACGTGCTTGCATGTCAAGGCGTGCCTTGTATTGACTTTGAGTCGTTAGGTGCGGCTCCAGGTACCTCTCACGAAGTGCCTGGCAGCTCACCACCTCCTCAGGAGTCTTGGGCCCATGGCCAATGACCCACGTTGCCAAAGCCTGGCCGGCCGCTTGACGTAGACGTTCCTCCACACTGGGTGGAGTGAACACATAGTCACGCTAGCGTTCAAGGGTTGCAGCCATTTGTACATAACGCTGAGCGTTTTCTTCTCTTTGAACAAGCAGTTGTTGTTGCTCATCGAGCGTGTTCGTGATGATAGTCTCATCAGACCCAGATGCTGCATGCTGCGCTGGTGGCGCGCTCGCACCTCCACGTTCAGCGAACGGATTTGGGGTGTTCAAAAGTTGTGTTTACCAGGCATCAGTGAGCCGGACATTGTCCCTGTATCACCGCAAACACTGGTATCGCTACCATAGTCCACCTCCTCCTCTATCCCGAAGTAGTCACACAGAGCCTTTGACTCGTTTGGTGATGAGGACATCGTGCTGGAGCGTACGTTATCGTGAGGTTCACCGTACGTGCACTGTTCTCGCTGAGAACACAAGTTCGATTGACGTTTTGGCAAACGACAGTCTGGTGGGGGAGGGTGTAACGGGGTTGCACGAAATTATGGTACTTTGTACCAGAGGTGTTACACACCCGAGGTTACCCCTTTGTGAAGGTGATATAGAATATCTTATTGGTTTGTAGGGGCTGACGAGTGTCAGCCATTAGGTACGAAAGATCTTTGAGTAGGATTAAGATATTCTATAGGCTTTAACAAAAATAAAATCAGTTCCCATTTTGATCTGAAGGACACGTGGCTTGCGAGCCGTCTTGATCGTTGATCACTGATCACTAAGAGCTAGCGACACCTCCTTGAGGTAGCTACTCTTAAGCACTGAGTGCTGTCGATATACTGAATCGTTAGACCCCCTGGAACAGGGATCTAAAGCTGTAAAGCTTGTTGACTCGTAAATTTGTTAGTTCTTTGGAACTAAATTGCTCGTAGAGCGTTAAGTCTTCCTCTGACTTAAGGAGCTGTGTAGCTCCGCTACAACGGATATGAACAATAGTATCACACTTGACTCTTTACGCCTGCCAGACGCGACTTTCAGCACACTTCGTCAACAACCGGAGCAGACGATACAACAAATACGGAATTGTTGGTCACTCGTCCGTCGGCAATTTACCAGTTGAAAGAGTGGTTGCGGCGGAACGACAATCGCTGCCAAACAAAATCGTGACTACAGCATCAGCACGCGCGCGTATCGATCGGCATCGATCAAAAATCCATCGAACACATCGTGCAAATGGTGGAGTATTTTGCACCGATGACGAACCAAAACTAGGACTGACGCCGATGCTACCAAGCGCATACCATGCGATGTCGTACTCTGATATTCTCTACAACCTTTCCGCCACTTCCTCGTATCTGCCGTCACTTCGATTCGTGCTGTTTGCGCACCTTCATAACGTGGCTACGTATCGCAGGAAGAAATCACGAAGTCGGAGCGGAGCAGCTGGAAACACGTGTTGGAGAGAACAGTCTCACACCTATCGACGCGCCAAACTACTGGCTTTCAACACTTCACATATCCTACATCTCTCGCGGGTGACCCTTATCGTCAGTTTGTAACCGTCCAACGTGAAACACAGTCGTAGTACACCACCAGCGACGACGCAACATGCCCGACGTCTCCGAAACAAAGCGCCACACGAATGTACAACAACTGTACCCACGTCCAAGGCATGAGAGTGGCGTCCAGATCTCCGGCCAACGATCAGGATCACCATCAGCGCCTGTACATTCCATCCACGCGCTTGGTGCGCGATCGAACATGATTGAGGCTGGTACTTTGGTGTATGCCTCACATGACCGTTCTAGCCATCGTATTTGAGATCAACCGAAAAGAGGTGTTGCTTCTTACAGTTGGCAGAACGGCTGTAGCGATAGTATCGTTGTAGCCTTAATCAAAGGAAACCATTGCGAACGACAAACCACGGTGATGGAAGCTGGTACGTCGCCACCATGAACAAAAATTCGAGCAGGAAAGCGAAGGGATGTAAGGACACCCAAATTTCTGTCGTAGCTCAAACGCTAGCGCAGTTGCTCACAGGTACCTCAACTTCGGGTTAGTCATCATTGGACATCAGAGAAGATGGTGTCATCGTAAAGCGCTGGTCGATTGCTCCTCGCTCTAGCGCCATGTGAACCATTGGAAGTAGCTCATTTCGTGTGGACCTGCCATAAATGCTTCGCTCTTGACAGCCCTTGATGTGAAAGCGTTGCGTGGTAAAAACTATGACCAATCACCGCAACATGGAACAGGGCCAGTGCCGTGACCGAAACAAGATGTACTATGAGCGGGACCACCGTGACGTGGTAGAGTATCGTTTCACTTCAGTATAGATGACTTGAGTCTTGAATCTGTCTTCATGATGTCAATAGGATGTCTTCAGCAGTAGACGGTTTTAGGATAAACCGGGAACAGGCGGACATATGTATGTGCCTTGTCGCTGACAGTTCATGCAAGTGAAAACCCCAGCTGTCGAAGAACGATCCGAGTGAATGCACTTGATGGAGCTCCTCTTACGTCCGCATCAAGATTCGTACCTTGCCATTTCCAGTTCAATCGGAGACTTGAACTGAGGATGTGTGTAAGCATTTTTGGCAGCTCCAAATGAAATGAGCTACTTCCAATGTATCGCATGGCGCTAGAGCGAGTAGCAATCGACCAGCGCTTTACGATGACACCATCTTCTCTGATGTCCTATGATGACTAACCCGAAGTTGAGGTACCTGTGAGCAACTGCGCTAGCGTTTGAGCTACGACAGAAATTTGGGTGTCCTTACATCCCTTCGCTTTCCTGCTCGAATTTTTGTTCATGGTGGCGACGTACCAGCTTCCATCACCGTGGTTTGTCGTTCGCAATGGTTTCCTTTGATTAAGGCTACAGCGATACTATCGCTACAGCCGTTCTGCCAACTGGAAGAAGCAACACCTCTTTTCGGTTGATCTCAAATACGATGGCTAGAACGGTCATGTGAGGCATACACCAAAGTACCAGCCTCAATCATGTTCGATCGCGCACCAAGCGCGTGGATGGAATGTACAGGCGCTGATGGTGATCCTGATCGTTGGCCGGAGATCTGGACGCCACTCTCATGCCTTGGACGTGGGTACAGTTGTTGTACATTCGTGTGGCGCTTTGTTTCGGAGACGTCGGGCATGTTGCGTCGTCGCTGGTGGTGTACTACGACTGTGTTTCACGTTGGACGGTTACAAACTGACGATAAGGGCCACCCGCGAGAGATGTAGGATATGTGAAGTGTTGAAAGCCAGTAGTTTGGCGCATCAGCAGGTGTGAGACTGTTCTCTCCAACACGTGTTTCCAGCTGCTCCGCTCCGACTTCGTGATTTCTTCCTGCGATACGTTGCCACGTTATGGAGGTGCGCAAACAGCACGAAGCGAAGTGACGGCAGATACGAGGAAGTAGCGGAAAGGTTGTAGAGAATATCAGAGTACGACATCGCATGGTATGCGCTTGGTAGCATCGGCGTCAGTCCTAGTTTTAGTTTGTCATCGGTGCAAAATACTCCAACATTTGCACGATGTGTTCGATGGATTTTCGATCGATGCCGATCGATACGCGCGCGTGCTGACGCTGTAGTCACGAATTTTGGCAGCGATTGCCGTTCCGCCGCAACCACTCTTTCAAGTGGTAAATTGCCGACGGACGAGTGACCAACAATTCTGTATTTGTTGTATCGTCTGCTCCGGTTGTTGACGAAGTGTGCTGAAAGTCGCGTCTTGCAGGCGTAAAGAGTCAAGTGTGATACTATTGTTCATCTTCGTAGTCTCTACACTCACCGTCTTATATGCGTCGTGACGATGGGCGGCGCCATACTCTCGTGTTTGACTCTTTCACTCTCATCATGTACAGTTATTCAGAGAGATCGTCAAGGCTCACTTCGAGTAGTCGTGTCTCTCATAAATAATGCTCTTCGTGTTCTTACTCCATCATGCTTCAAGTCTAGTGTTTACTACGGTGTCCTGTGGCCCTGCAATGTCTACTTGACTGTCGATGGTACGCAACGACATGCCGGTCGAACTATCGACCCCCTTCAATGTTGTCTCTTCCGCCTCTTCATTGTGTCCCGATTCGCTAGAGTCGGTGCTGCCCTCCCATGTCTGCTGCGTATCCATCAATTTCTGGAGCTGGTACATGTACTCCAGATTGGTCCTGCAATCCAGCGAGCGAAATCGACCTGCAGCGTTACTGAGAGATGAGAGAGACGTGAAGAAAAGGCACTAGCAGTTGGCGCAGTGTGTCTGTCGCTGACGCCATTGGGCTCGACCAGAACCTCCCTCAGCATATCCTCGCCGTGCTATTCGCTTCACTTTCGTCTGCCCGGAAGTTGGTGGAGCAGATGATACGCATCGACCAGGTTCATTGTGGTGTTCGATGTCGTTGCTGGACGGGCAGCTTGCAGTTCCGTGAGCCGACCTCAGAATGCATTCCACTTTTCCTGACCAAGATTTGGGTTGCTGGTTCAGTGCACGTCTCCCTCTGTGAAAGATGAACTGGATCATGCGCGACTTAAAACTCGTGGACGTGGCGAAGGCTTCTTGCGTCTGATGCATCACAGACTCTCGACGCATCAACTTCGGATGGTAGTCCTCTCGAATGCGTGCTGCACTCGTCACAACGTGGATGCTGCTTGACGGCATATTCAAAATGATCAATACCAGCGTTGCCGCGCTCGGATGATTGATTTTGCTTGTGGCCTCAAGTCATGCGAACATGTCGACATGCCTGGACTTCCTCGCTTTCTAATGGCAGTTCGTGACAAGGTCATGAAAGGGATTTGAAATCAAAATCTGGTCTCTACACAATGGATCGAGCTTAATGGCTCTACTGTAAATCCATGGACTTGATCACTACACAAAGTGCTTCGCGACGAGAGCAACGCGCGCATGGATACGCGGTGTACCTCGAATGCTTGATGCTGAGGGACCATGAGAACGCAAGCACAAGTGTTCGAATCGTCATCGTGGAGGAAGAATAAGCAATAGCTGACTCATTTGGAGAGGGATGTGGGACGACTTCTCTGCTTGAACTAGCTATGGGACGTGACGAAACACGAAATCGAGAGTTTTGTAAACAAAGCCACCTCAGTCATCATTAATGACTGCTCAAACATTGCTTCGATTTACAAGTGGTTACAACATGAGAGAAACTCGGCACCGGATCAATTCGGGTTCGGATGGTAATACGCGCTCGAAGACGATGGGTACAACTGACGAATTGGTAACGAGCCAAACGTAACGCAGCAATCAGTGAGACTGTCATTGGCACCAAGATTATTGGTTTGAGTACATCGACCTTACACGCATCACCTAGGCCTTTTGATGACGTACAATCAGAGGCGTTTACAGTGATTGTAACGGGGTGAATAATTACATAACAATTTATAAGAAATTGTTAATAGAATATAACTATAAGAGTTATATTCTCAGAATATTGTCATAAGGACAAATATTCTGCAGCACTTACGAGTAGTTCCTAATTCGTTGATATAGGCCATTATATCAACCAACGAAGACGCGCCACGACAGACGCACGCAATGAGTGGTGAGCAGATAGTTGATTTACACATTTGTATTTAGACATAGTTAGATGAAGATAAATAGTGATTTATTGCAGACATTAACTATTATAAATACAGTTCTACTTTTTACTCTAACCAAGTACTCGCTTCTTCTTACCTTCTTCCTCTGCACGTACGAGTGTTCGTGAAGTTACGAGGCACCGCCTTATTCTGTCATCAGAATAAGTAGATTGTACTGTCACCAGTACAAGCTTCAGGGTGCCCCGTTACACCTGGTAGCACTTCGTAGTCCGTCCAAGGACCACGTTCACATCCAACATGAATATGTTGGATGATGAAGATGACCAAAGCTTTCACGCTACGCGTAACGGCTACTCCCATTTGAGCAATGTCGAATGGGATGCAGTTGAGCGGATGGGTTCAACCATGGGCATCCATGCTGTTAGCGTCATGCTGGAGGCTCTCGATAGAGATGCCCAACATGCTACTATCGCCAAGTTCATTCAAAATGAACTTGACGCTGAACGCGAGAAAGTTGCCTTGCTTCACCAACAAGGTTCTCAACAAGCAGAGTTGTTGAATGAACAGGGTGCTCAACAGTTTGAACTGTTGAGACAGCAGCAGGCTGCTCCTGGCGGGTCGACGCAAGCGCATCGACCCGAGACATTGAAGATTGACATCTCCAAGTATAGGGGGGTCGAAGAAGACTCCCTCTTGAGATGGTTTGTCGAATTAGACGACGCCATAAGGGCGCGTCGCATCGACGATGGGGATATGCAAGTTGCATTTGCCCAATCAAATCTGGCAGGACGTGCCAAGAATTGGGCATCGGGGCTCAAGTTGCACGACCCATATGCGTTTGGGTCGTTAGAAGTCTTCAAGTCGCGGCTCAGACAAACGTTTGAACCGCCTAGAGCTGCGTTCAGAGCTCGAACTGAACTCTTGAAGCTCAAGCAGGGTAAGCGTGATGTGCACGCTTACGCTCAACATATACGACATCTCACGAGTTGTATAAGTTCCAATCCGGTGGATGAACACACGTTGGTTTCGGTGTTCATGCAGGGTCTTGCGGATGGTCCCGTCAAGACTCACCTGTTCCGACTTGAACTAGATTCACTAGAACAAGCCATTTCCATTTCGGAACAGGGAGACTTCAGTCTGAGACAGGCTCGCGCCAGCTCGACATCATATCGTCAACCGAGACGATATGACAACGGAGGTCCAGAGCCGATGGAACTCTGTTTTGTAGAGAGCGAGAAGGCTCGCTCTACAGACTACAAGAAGTTGCAGAAATGCAACAGATATCAAAAGACAGGACACTACGCTTACGAGTGTAGTGCCCTCGTCCAGTGTCTCGCGACACTGGGCGTAGTGACCGTCCACCCATGAGAAAGGGGCAGGGACGCGGGTCCGCTGTTGGTGCAAAGACGCAACAACGGGATGGACCGTCAAAAATGGACAGGATCAGTAGGTGCGGAGCACCCTACTGGTCCAGCAACGTTAAGAGAATTTGTAGACCTCTTGATAGAGGTTGCTCCCAACACACAAACATTGTGCGTTGCTGCTCTAGGTAATGAGATCTCACTCATTACCTTGAAACTCGAAGTGACAAATAAGTTGTCCATGCGAGCTCAAGTCGATTGTGGGGCGTCCAACAATTTTGTGCGACGCCAATCGCTAGAAGATGGTCACTTCAAGTTCAGTGAATGTGACACACCTCTTACGAGGATGACGGTACGTCTTGCGACAGGCACATCCGTAACCGTCATGAAGCGCATAGTGAAGATCCACTGTACGCTAGAAGATACCCAATATGACGATACCTTTATCGTATTGGATTTGGATGACAAATTTGATGTCATCCTTGGAATACCGTGGCTCAGAAGGTACGAACCACGGGTAAACTGGCAACATCGAACAGTAACGATGCCTGCCGCTTGTTCATCAGATGGCCATCTGATGAACGTTTTGGAGCGTCCACAAGCGTGTGGATGTACTACGAGTGAGTGCGATGGCCTCACTTGTGGTACGGTCGTTAGTACGACTGCACAAAACCTTAGTGTACCAAACGGTTACACTTCGGAGCAAAGTTCCGGCGGCTGTGAGGAAACACAGGCTGCGCCGAAGGTCCACCACTCGAATAAGTCGGGTGGACTGGGACAAAGATGTATCCCTAGAGGGGAACATCTAGAAGAGAAACAATCAATCGCTCAGGTTAAGCGAAACGATAATCCTAGATCGACTAGAGAGTCTTTCGTAGAGGATCTCGCTGTGGTTGCGCAACCACAGCTAGAGGAAGTAAACGGAAAAAAGTCCCAAGATTACAAATACGGCGGAAATAAGTTCCCCGAAACCCGCGAAAATAAGTCCCCGGGAAGCCGAAGGAATAAGTCCTTCGAAGCCTGAGGGAATAAGTCCCCAGGAAATGACAGAGACATTGAATGTCATAGTCAATAACGGATCAAGTGTAGGCGCTTATACACTTGATCTGATTGCGCCTCCGAAGTTAACTTCGGAGATCACTCAGTTGCCAACGCTCGAACATAAAAGGTTCTTGTGTGATCTGCGTAGTGGCAAAGTCAAGCAGATCTGCGTACTCGTCGCTGACGACTAGTGTGTAGCCGACATAAGGTCAGCAACAGTGTTTACTGAGAACGAGAGAGTTCTCAGTAGTTCATCTATGGACGAGAGTGTCCTAGATGAAAAGACACGAATTGAGCGATATGACTCCCAATCGTGGGAATCGCTCAAGACAAATCCTCTCTATGAAGATTTGGTTGAATTCAAGGATGTATTCCCTGAAACTGTTCCGTGCGAATTACCGAAGGATAAAGGTATTCGACACGAGGTCGAGCTTAAACCAGGCTCGAAGTACTGTGTCATGAAGCAGTGGCCACTGCCTCGTGAACAAGTACTTGCGATCGACAAGTTCTTTGCCGATCGTTTAGCTGCGGGCCATGTGAGGGAATCAACTTCCCCACATAGCTCTCCGACCTTCTGTGTGCGAAAAGCAACAGGAGGGTGGCGGATAGTGCATGCATTCAACAAGTTGAATGCTGCAACGGTACCGGCACAGACGCCGATACCGAGGAAGGACGTAATCATAGATGGTATGTCAAAGAGTACCATCTTTTCGTCCATGGATTTGATGGATGGCTTCTATCAAATCCTTATGCGGGAACAGGACATACCCTATACCGCAGTTAGCACGCCTAGCGGCATGCTCTGGGAATGGCTAGTAATGCCACAAGGGCTTAGTAATGCCCCTGCCACGTTCAACAGATGTGTATCACATCTGTTGAGGCCAGTACGAGAATTCGCGCCGAGTTATTTCGATGACGTATTCATCCATAGTCGAGCTATGGATGGAAAGCCGGATGTCGAGGTTCACAGAGCCACGTCCGACAGGTTCTTACAATCATGCGAAAGCATCAATTGTATGCAAACCTCAAGAAGTGTAGATTTGCAGCAAGCGAAATACCACTTCTTGGGTGCATCGTTGGTAAGAACGGTGTACGTCCTGATCCCGAAAAGATCAAGGCGATCACCGACTGGCCTGTGCCGGTTGATGTCAAAGGTCTTCGAAAATTCCTTGGGCTAGCGGCGTATTTGCATAAGTATTCACGCAATTACGCCGAGATGACTGTGCACCTCTCTCGTTTGTTGAAAAAGAACGAGAGGTGGTTATGGAACGCTGAATGTCAACGCTCCTTTGAGGGTATCAAGCAGAGCTTGATATAATCCCCAGTCCTAGCAATTGCCGATCAGGACAGGCCATTCCATGTGGTCTGTGATACCAGCAATTTCGCAATCGGCTGTGCATTAATGCAGTACTATCTTGAAGGCGTTGAACGCGTCGTCTGCTACAGGTCGCGTCAGCTACTGCAACCAGCTGAGCGGAACTATCCAGTGCATGACAAGGAACTCCTTGCCATGAAGTATGCACTCGCGAAGTTCAGAGTCTATCTCTTAGGAGATAGACCCTTCATCGTTCACACTGACCATGCGTCATTACGCACGGCAGTGAACAGCCCGCACCTTTCACAACGAATGGCGCGGTGGCTGTCTTTCTTTGCAGAATACAACTTTACGGTTGAGTATAAACCAGGACGACTTAATGTCGTCGCTGATGCACTCTCACGTCGTCCCGACTTTGAACCAGTCGTGAAACCCAACAGTGAGGCAGTCACTGTTGCGGTTATGACGTCCTCAGTCCCATCTACAACGTTGCATGATGACGTGAGGCGGGCATATGCCCAAGATGGTGAGATTGTGAAGCTGATGACACATCTCTAACAGCCATCTCGAGAATCGTTGAAACGATTGTCGTCTGCGTATCGATCTGCATCAGATCGATACACTACTCGCAACGGTTTACTGTATTATACAGCCGTTTCTGGTGACACACCACGTGTTCTCATTCCAGATGATACTGATCTGCGTTTGCGGATCATGTTCGAGTATCACGATGCTCCTACAGGAGGACATCGTGGCCGTGAGAAAACATATCTCACGGTGAGTCGAGACTTTTACTGGCCCCGCCAGTATCAGTTTGTGCGCAAGTACATTCGCGCGTGCGAAGTCTGCCAACGAGTGAAGTCAAGTCCTTCACTGTGTGCACCTTTACAGCCTCTACCGGTTTCAGCTGAGTGCTGGAAATCCATCTCAATGGATTTCGTCTTCGGGTTACCCAAAGACGCACGCGGGAATACGGGTATTCTCGTATTTGTTGACAGATTCAGCAAAATGGTACACCTTGTGGCTGTACCAGAGTCAATCACAGCAAGTGGCTGTGCTTGTGTCTTTATTGACACCATCTTCCGACTTCATGGGTCACCCCGTGAACTCGTATCAGACAGAGATCCACGATTCACTGCTGATTTCTGGCGTTCCGTGTTCCAATCACTCGGAACGCGCTTGAAGATGTCGACATCTGATCATCCAGAGTCATATGGTCAGACGGAACGTGCCAATCGTGTCCTCGGAGAGATACTTCGAGGATACGTACACTCCTTTAAGAGTTGGAGTGAGTTCTTGCGAATGGTAGAGTTTGCCATTAACAACTCGGTGCATGCGTCCACGACACATACACCATTTTACGTGAATGGCTTACGCCATCCGCGTGTACCCACCTTACTCGAGTGTAACTCTTATTTAAGGGGGGGAGGGACTCGCGCGAGCAAAAAACGATTTGGTTCACGCTCATCACGCTCTGACAAAGAGGTCATTGCGTTTGATGCCGATATCGATAACATCGATATCGAAGAAGATGATGCCAGTGAGAGTGCGGAAGCCCTCACTGAAGAAAAGGTTGATGTTGCTGCAGTGCGCTCACAGCGTACTGAAGCTAACGAGCCAGCAGATGAGTTCATACTGGCTCGTGAAACGGTAGTCCGTTTTGTGCAAGATTCCATCTCCGAAGCGGTGGATAAGCAAAAGCAAAACGCTGACAAGAATGGAAGGGCAAACACTATTTTATTCAATAGAATGACTTAGTCCTACTGTCTACGGTTAATCTACCAAAGCATGTAGTGACTAACTTGGGTAGCAGTAAACTACTACCCAAGTGCATCGGCCCATTTCGTGTATTTCACCGCCTAGGCAATGCATACACGACCGAGTTACCACGTAAGATGCGAACGCATCCCACGTTTTACGTTGGTCGGCTTAAGCCGTACCACCAGTACGCTGCTTCTTCCGATGAAGAACGCCCTTGCGCTCAAGCATCTCGCAGAGAGCCTTGTGCTCCCGATGGTGAGCATCGGCAAGGGTCTGAAGAGCAGATATCTCATCCCGAGACCGATCAACAATCCCACGAGCTACCCGTAGCTCGTCACGAAGAGACGTCAGAGCTCTCTCGTTCTCAAGCTGAGCAAAGGAAAACTCAGCTCGATGCTTCGAGACAGCGTCCGCCAGTTGGAGACGTCTGTTCCGCTCATGTTCGAGATTGCCGCGTAACCCTTGCGTTACGCGATCAAAGAAGCTCTCGGGAACACACGGATCCCGACGATCGTGTGGAGAGCGTCTTTCCTCCTCCTCCACCTCCATTAGAGGACTCTCGCGGTGGCCAGCGCTATCTGGTTGAGCAGCTGTTGAACCACCGCGACGTGAACGGACGTCGGACGAGTTATCTCGTCCGGAGGCGCGGCTATCCCCCGTCCTGGGATACTTGGGAGCCCCGCTCCCAACTGATGATGACGTACTGGGTCTGGTCGAGCAGTACGACGCGGCACATCCTGTGCCGCAGAAGGACCGCTGGAGAAAGTCTTCCCGGCACGGTCGTAAAGGGATTTCAAGTTGTCAATCCCTTCGTACATCTCAGTAGAGATACGTACGCGCCACCACGGGCTAGTAAGGAGGTAAGCCTCCTTAGAGACTCGTGCAGAGTT